AAAAAATTTATTACACAGATACCAGTAATGTAAATATGTCAGTTATGTCTCAAAGACTGCTCAGCTCCAGTTGCTCAACTGAGAGGTAATACAGCAGAAGTGGGTTTATTTTGTTGTCCTTCTATTCACCATTTATTGTACTGTTGTTTTCACCGCTTACCATATATAATTGATTGGTTCTCCCCTGCTGTTACCATGGATATTTAATACATTGATATGGAAAGCAGATGCACTTTTATGGAAAGGAAAACACAGCTACAAAATTCTCTTGCACAGAATGGAAGGGTCTGCTATATTTGATGTTGATACAAACAGTAGTGGCTTTCTGCTTCATGTTCTTATCTACCATCAACACATCTGGATGTCCATCCTATACCTCATGTTTCATGGTGCTAGTGCCTAGGAGGGCATTACGTGCAACATAGCTCCTTGTGTCCATTTTCCCTCCTGAACATGCAAGAAGGGCCAGGCACAGGTTTGTAGGCCAGTCAGCTTGAAACTGAGAAGCAATTGCTGTCAGAGTGGTAAATGCTGTTGATTAGAGTGGTCCATGAATCAAAGACCCTCCCTTCAGGCTCTGAGGTCTGGGGTTTTTTGAGATCAAAGGAGAACACAGTATTTTGAACAAAATGTGCAAGGGCCCACCCTTCCTGAGCTGCACTTCTGGTAGATGTTCTGTCCTGCAGCTGCAATACTCCAGAGAAGGGTTTGGTTCCTCCTCCCCCTCCTTTTCTCTTAAATATGTATCATGAGAGAAATTTAACAGATGTTTTCAGAGGAGTCTCTGATCCTACACTCATTGTGCCTGTGTGTTCTATGTGGAGAGCTGCTGATTTACCAATTTAAGTAAGTCTAGCACCTTTAATTCATCAGAAGGTCATGTAATATATTACTTACATTAGATGTAGGTGTCAAAACTGACCTGTAAACCTAAAATTAAATTGGGACTACAAAATTAATTTCACTTAGATTGTGGAAATTAGTCTATAAACGGAATTCCTGTGGGAACTGTGTAAACCTTCTTTGACACTGATTTAATGTAACTTTAAGTTGTGTAAGCAGTACAGAGTTTTAAGCAGTACAGAGTTTTAACCAGCACATATTTGTAGCAAATCTTGCAGTAGGATGAGTATTAACAGGAACATTCTGTGGTGTTTCTGAATTTAATGATTACAGCGTAGAGCTTTATTACAGCTTTACTGCAGTCAGGCGTTGTACTCCCTTCCCAAGCCTCAGAACACAGGTAATGATACAAAGCTGACATGTAGTCTGTCAAATACCTCCATTCAGTCATTAAGCTTTAATTCATAAAGTGCACATGCACAGGACAGTATACAGTTAGGGTAAGAATTTATTTTGTGGTCAAAACTGAATTTGGAATCTGAATGTCAAGGTTAATACCTGAATCAGAATTTCATATCCAAATCACAATAATTAGCGCCTAATTTGGGAAAATTTGGAATCAAAAACTTGAATTTTTCAAACTGGACCCAGGAATTCAAGGTCTGATTAGTTCTGGGACAAAAATCTGCATTCTTTTAATAGATGGCAAGTGAGTGTGCTTGTTTTATGCATGCAGTTAATTTGAGGACTGAAATTATTCTGAATCACTCAAATGTTCATGCTCCAGATTACAGCAGATTTTGCTTGCTATGCTGCTAGTAACAGTACTAAAAAGCATATTTTTTCTTTCTTAAGATACAGAAAGACTCTGTTTTTTAAAGATAACACGTTCAGGTGTTCTCTGAAGGTGACAGCATTCAGAGGTCTCAATTCATGCATGCACTGTCTGCACAAGAGCTCATGTATGAGACTGTTTCTGCAGGGGAACATTTAGGGTACTTAATGTAATTTGACCTGTGAAAACACTAATTTTGAATGTTTTACTGAAAATAACTCAGAATATCCTGAATTTCTGTAGAATATATGACAATGTTTTTAAACAGGGTAAGGATACTCTGAATTCTGCATCATCTCAAAACTAGCATCAAGTTCTCTGAGATCTGCTAAGTCTTCTGTGTTAACACAGTGTTGTCCTGGTCCCTTAATAAACCAGTAAATGTGAAAGCAATTCTAATGCCTATTGGGTTGTATGTATAAAGAGCACAGCTGTACACCAGACCTCACTCATTTCACATATGCAAAGTAATCCCTAAAAGGCTGCCTTTCACAACACCTTAGTCATCTAAGCCACTGTTAAACATCCTCTTGGAGTAGTAGAGTTCTCAAAATTAATCAGTTCTTCCAGATGCAGCATGTGTTGATAGCAGATAGCCCGTGCATGTTCTTCTGCATGCTTCGGGTTCATCTTCTGATTTTATTAGTTTAATCTCTTAATTATCTGTATGTCCTTCCAAGAAGGCACTGCCCTTTCCTTGATGAAGTCAAATTCCTTCTTCTTTCCAAGGAATGTCAAGGGATAAGCTTTAAGAACCTGCTGTACTGTATTTGCAAAAAGAAACCTCATGTGATGAACGAGAATCCATCTTACAATAGAAAACTGCACCCAAACCCCACGACCAGCAAAGATGTGAGAGACATTCTGGCAGCTAAAATATATCCACATTCTTCTTTTAGCTCATAGGAAATAATGGTATAGGAAATATATTCTGCAGAAATACAGTTCCAAAAATGCAGGTTATATTAAAAAACAAACAAAAAAAAAGACTCCCAAAATCCCAACCTTAACAGAAATTTATAACATCCTGAATCCTCTCATATTTCAGCTTGACCCAACCCTACTGAATAATGAAAACAGTTTACATTAACAGGGGGAGGTAGATTTGCCTTTCTGATAAGGTGTAATTTTATTATTGAAGGTACTCCTAATAAAACGTGGAAGTTGCCCAAGTAACAGCCACATCTTGAGGCATTCCCTGACATGACTAGACGGGATTTTAAGCTACAAGGTAAAAGTTTTGAACACCTTAGTTTTGCAATTGACAGTGCATGTAGACAACTAGTATCAGATGCATTCTGTATTGTAATCATAGCAGCGTGAGCTGCTAAGACTATATGAACTGTTAAGGAATGTCAAAATGCTTAAGCTATATAAAGCATATTTGAATCATTCTGTAGATACTTGAATAAAACTGTGTGCTTCAATAAAAAGAAAATGCAATTCAATTTGCCCCTGTCAGTGATAGGTGTTTCTAGCTGCACTGCTTTTGTCTCTTGCATGGGAAAAAAAACAGCAGAATAGAGGCTGGGTAGATGTTTGTCCTACAGCTGATACGCAAAGCACAGGCTTTGAACAACTTCTTCCTGGACACAGAATTCTGCCTGAACAAAGACAGCTGCAAGGTTACAGCCAAGCATGAAAAATATCTCCCTTTTAAATTAAGGCTTTTCTATACACGACAAGGAAATGTATAGCGTTGTTTGGTGAAGTGCTGGATATAGTGAACAACCTGTTCATTTACCAGAGGGAACTGGATTACTTTTGAGATCCACATCTGAAAGTAGCACCAGATATTAAAGTCAACCTTGGCTTGGTTTGTTCTAATAAGAGAAAACAGCATGGAAGAAAGTATTTCCCAGTAGAAACTCAGTGAAAATATTTTATACTGTAAATCCAGCTTTCCAAAATTGAATCTTTAGTCTTTTTTTTCCAGTGACTGTATGCATGTTACAGTAATAACAGAAGTTACCAGAAATGTATTTTAGTAAGACCTCATTAACCAGGGCAATATGATATAGTATATCTGATGTTCATTACATTTAATGAGAAATCACTGAGCAGATGTGACTTTCTGGACAGCTTTGTGAAAGATACTTGACTAAACCCCTGTTTCAGTTACTGTGCGTATAACAAGCCCCATGAATAGCTATGGTCTAACTGCTTCCTGTTTCTCAGGCACACTGGCAGTGTCTGAAATGGTATCAAGCGATAACCCTCACTATGGAGGCTGCAGGCCAGACGGGGTGTTTATGAGGGTGCTGAAATTGTGGATCCCATATCCTCCTCTGCTGTTTCTCATGCTACACGTGAGCTTGGCAACCTGCTGCTTCATGTGGCATGTCACCCTAACACTCACAAGCTATGTCAGTGTCTTTATCATTTTAAGTTAGTTCCGGCTTCAGAAAGCTTCCCAAACCCACACCCCTGCCCATTGACTGCTCTTGGTCTGCATTTGTATGCTGTGCCTGTAAGGTTCTGGTTAATCATAGACTATGCACAGGAACAGAACTGGGGTTGAAGTGCTCACTCTGTAAAATTAGTTGCTGTGCTCTGAACCTGCTTTCCTTCCAATGCTTCCACTTGAACAGAAAAGCACCCTGCTCGCTTATCACCCTGACCACAGCTAGTATCTACCAGGATGCAGTTACTGTGGCCCTTCCTTAAATTCCCAGGTTCAAACTTCTTGGCAGTCCAAGCCTAAAAGGCAAAAGAGAAGCTGGTGCTATTTATAATTAAAATTGCTTCCATGAGGGGGAAAATAATAAAGACTGAAGACTGAAATAAGGCCATGCAGGCACCAGCCTGTGTCGTTTGGTTTGGAAAATTCTGGAAAAGTAATCTGTACAAAGACAAAGCCGCATCTCTTTAATTTTTGTTGCGTCCAGATGTTCTGGAGCTGTAGTAATGAACAGCTTCATTTTTAAGTGCCTTCTTTTAAGAACCTTAGTAGTTAAAATGAGAAGATGCTCCCACGAGCCCAGTTTTTATCTCACAGCAAACGCAGATACCTACCGTCCTGCTTTTAGAAAGCAACAGGACATCACATAGTTCATACTGCAGGAGCTGGCCCATATACGCGGTTATTTAAAACCACCTTTAACTCAGCCGTCTGGGACAAGGTCTGCGGGGCCTACACGCAGCGCGACCCCGACCTCCTCAACCGGCCCTCTCTGCCCGGGCTGCGGCATCGCCAGGACCAGCAAGAGGAGGAGGTAGGGGACGGCACTCACCATCCCTTCCGGCGCGGCTCGCCCCCAGCGCTCGGGCAACACGGCCGGGAGCCCCGGCCCCCCCCCTAGCCCCGGCCCCCGGCCTTGCCCGCACCGCCTCCCTCGCTGCCCTTTCGCCCCTTCCAACTCCTCCTGCTCCTCCCCGCGGCCCGAGCTGCCGCTGCCCCCGCCCCTTTAAGGCAGCCGGGGCCGCCTTCCCGCGGCGGCGGTGAGGTGTGGGGGAACATGGCGGCTGCTGCGGGCTGGGCCGTGCTGGGCCTCGCGCTGTGGCTGTGCGCGGTCGCCGGCGAGCCCGAGGGGAAGCAGCGGGCAGGGCCGGCCAAGAAGAAGGACATTCGGGACTACAACGACGCGGACATGGCTCGGCTGCTGGAGCAGTGGGAGGTGCGGGGCCGGGGATATGCGGAGGGGACCCCGCGCGGCTGTGGCTCGGGGCAAGGCGGGAGGTTTGGTGCCCGCGTCTCGGCCGCGCTTCCCCAGGGCCTGGCTGCGGCCTTGGTATGGAGCGGGTGGGGGGATCCGGGGCCTGGTGGCGTTGGGGTGGCGGGAAGCCGGTCCCTTCCGCTGGGGCTGCATGTTCCTGTGTAGGGAGTTACAGCATCGGGGCGAGCAGGCACAGGGGGGCTTCTGGGGAGCTGCCGTGGTCCCGGGACCCCGCAGCCTGCCCTGCTACCCCCGCCCTCGAGCACACGGTGACCGGGTGTGCCACAGCCTGGCTTGACTGGGGTATCTGCTGGGTTGGGGTATTGAGGGCCTTGCTGCTCATTCTTTGGTCATGTTTTGTGACCCAGGGATGGATAGCAGGAGAAATGCTTATTTCAGCTTTCCAGAGTAGATACGTGGTTTGTGTTTTCTTTCCTTGCCACTCATCATGGTAATGACTTCTAATTCCAGCTCTGTTGCCTCCCTTTGTCCCCATCACCCTGCTGCCTTAACTTCCTTTTGACAGTTCCCCGGCATTCCTCTCTGTGTGGTTGTCATGACACTGTTCGGTTCTTTTCACTATTTTTGTATTCCATCATGTTCTGATAAATCCCAGAGCACTCATCAGTGTCTTCTCCTCTTTCCCATGAGGCTGTTCCCCAGAATGTTTTGCACAAGTCCCCAGGGAAATAATGGAGTAAAAGCTTCTGTCTCCTGTAACACCATGTACAGCTGTAAGTCAAGGTGGAGAAATAGGTTTTGTATGTGTAATAAAGTAACTTTTGTGAGAAATAAGGATGTCTGCCTTGGGCCTAGTTGGCAGATTATGAACATGTTCATCCCAGGGACTGTTACTGTGTATCTGTCTCCCTTTAAGAAGAGAGATTCTTGGAAAACTTGAGTTAAAATTCTAAATAAAATTACATAAAATCTCAAAATTCACCTTTCCATTGGTGGTATCAGCCAAGGACCAGGTGGTCCCAGCTGGTAAAAAATCAAAAGCTTAAATGATGATATTGGCTAACTTCAATGAAATTTGGCATTTTAGGGAAAATCTTAGAAGGTTAACGTCTCTGAATTGGATGCCTGGGTGAAAGGGAGACTCAAGTCAATGCTGTCGTGACTCTGGCTGTGTACTCTGTTCCAGCCATGTGGCAAGCAGGAGGCTGTTCAGGATTTTTCCTCTCTAGCTGGAGCAGGTCCCCGATCCATTTCACCATGTGCTGCACAAATGCTTGTAGCTGCATTGCATGCAGATGTGGCTGAACATCTGGGGACTTTGCTGCTTGGGCTGGCATTGCCACTGAGGGAATTTGCAGCCAGTCACAGCCCTGGGAGAAGAAAGTTACTGAAGCAGTGGCTCAACAATGAGCAGTTGTTGGGTCTTTGGGATGGTCAGCTGCATGGCATTTTGCCTGGTGGTAGTCAGGACTCATAAAAAGAACATGAAAGGCTTAAGGGGGTGGTGGCTGGAGGATAGAGGAGAAGAAAAGCATGAGTGGACTTGATGGGGTGGGATGAGAAACAAAGGGGCCATTATGAATTTGGATAAGAGCAGGAATTATGCTCTGGAGCAAGGGGCACAGGGCTCAGATCTGTACAGAATCAAGTGTCATTCATCGCAACTGAGATGACGCCTAATACTTTTTATTTCTCTGGCGATTAGTCAAAAGCACTGGAAGATGGTGGCTGGTACATCCTTGGGTTCAGCCATAAGCCTGGTGAGGCTGAGGCTATGGCTCCAGCAGCCTTCCTAGAAGAAGCAGCCACCTCTGTGCAGGCTCTTGTGCTGCCACTTGCCCTGTGCTGGTGCAACCATGTACATGGATGCCCGATGAACCAGGGGAGTGATCTAGCAGAAAATGAGGATGGGGAACTGAGGTTTCTTCATTAGATCAGTTGCATAACTAGAGTTTGAAGCAAACTGCCTACGGATTTCCCCCATGGAAAGGGACTCTCCAGCAACCTTGGGTCCAGAGGAGCTGGAAGCAGAACTGAGAATGTGGTCATTCTGTTACTGAAATGTCCTATTCTTTAAGTAGTTCATAATTGTTGTAAGCTCAGGATTTCACGGGCTTGACTGCGAGCTGAGATTGTTGAATAGGCCAAGGAATTAGGTGACGTATGTTGCTAATAGTTTTTAAAATAAAAATTCAGGGCATTGATGAGAAATGCATGAGAATGGGAGCAGAGGGGAGGAGAAAAAGAAGGAATACATAGGAAATACATAGTTATTACTGTATTGTGTTATGCTTTCCCTCTGAAGCCTCATGTTACAGCTTAAAGGAATGAATCTGCTAGACATTTCAAAGCAAAAGCTTATACTTTTCTCCAGTCTTTTGCTTCATAGATAGATTTATAGATACAAAACTGCACGATAGTTTGTACAGGATCAGGAGAAGGAGTGTGGTATAAGGGAGCTTTTGACTGCCTTTTATGATATTTCTATTCAAACTGCAACAGTACAGCTTTACAAGCTGAATAGTTAAGGGAAAAATAGGTTAATATATGTTTGATTGTTCTGTCACTAAGTCCAAAGTCAGTTTCTGTATTGCATAAGGACTATATGGAAACATTTCTTCCTTTCCCTTTCAAAACTGAAATAAGCTGGTTTTGCACTAGCCAAACTGTTCTAAAATTAGGACTGTTTAGCTTTTACTTCTGAAGAATGTTTTTCATTGGCTCATATAAGTTTTTGTATTTTCACTGTGCTTTACCAACATGAGCATTTGCCAGCTTCCTCTAAGATTAGTATTGTTCCCCCTTAGTGAGGGCTGTGGGACTTCCCTGGGGCTCTCCTTTACTCTCAATTCACTTAATAAGGAGTTTTCAAAGGGATGTGAACTGTTTGAAAGCGTCCTTCAGCCTTGCGAAATCGAAGCAAATGTAGTTAGTAAGGAAAGAAAGGATAAAATCTAAGGCTTCTACAGCTTCTGTTCTGTGGTAACTAATTTTTAAACTCCTTTGTCAGAAAGACAGCAAACTACGTAATTGAGATGGGAAGAGAGGTCGCTTGCATGGAACCTTACCTTTAAAGGGTATGGGAGGCTTCGTGTGGTGGGATGTTGTCAAAGGATGATGTTGAGTTTGCATATAGGCATGTGCAGAGATGAGAAGGTAGTGCATACTTAGACCTAAAAAATAAAGCTTGGCTTCTGAAGGGAGTTACCTTTAGATGCTGCTACAGTTCATGCCCCTGATGGAGTGCTGCATATTTTCACAAAATACTTGGAAGTCAAAACAACACCTGAAATGTCTGACTTAATTCCTACTGATTTACTAGTGCTTGAGTGGATGCCAGTATAGGACTTCCAGGGTTTTATGTTGTATTTCTGTATTAATTTTTTAATATGATACAAATACTGTTGAAGAAATCAAGCTCTGGCTCAATGTAAGCTGTCACTCTATTCAGTCCTCTCTCTCATGAGCTGTTTTAAGGGAGAGCAGTTGGAATTCTGCTTTTCCAAATATTTAAATGCCTGTCAACCTCAGCAGAGGCATCAAGAGGTTTTTTTTCTTTATTCTGGGAGTAATTTACTCCTGGTGGTTATGTTGTCAGACTGTGAGCTGCAGCTGTGCATTAGAAAAGTCATGAAGCTTTTAATATAAGTTTTCCTGTGGCATGAGACTTGAAATTCTGAATTTTTGTGGGTTTTATTTGGTAAAGAGGCAAAGTCAGGAAAATTGAATTCTCAAGTGATCAAATGAGTCCTAGAGGTGAGTTTTGACCTCTGAAAGCAATGTGCAGGTGAACACTTTTCTATGTGTGTCTGAGGCTTTTTAGTGCAACTTTCTCAGTTCATCATGTATGCTTAATACATTTATGTGAAACTGTGGAAAAAAAAAAAGTGTTATTTTATGAAGTACCTGTGTGGAATTGTGCTGAATTAACCTTGAGGCTGAACTATTTCTCAGTATATGGTAAAAGGAGTGTCTAGCTGTGAGTATGAAAATGTGTTGAGGGGAGGGTTATAAATGGAAGAATACTCTTGATGAATGTCCTGGGTTCAGCAGTAGCAGTCATGTTTCTCCTCCTTGGTAGCTGGTGCAGTGCAGTGTTTTTTGACTTTCGGCCTGGGAACAGAGCTGGTAGCGATGTTTTGGTTTGGCCAAGGACTTTGTGAGCCTCATGCTCTGCCAGGGAGGAGGGGAAGCCGGGAGGAAGCAGAGACAGGACACCTGACCCAAACTGACCAAAGAGGTATTCCATACCACAGCACGTCATGCCCAGGATGTAACTGGGAGTTACCCGGAAGGGCTGGGAGACTGCAGGGTTGGAGGAGGTATCGGTCAGAGCTTGGTCGGGCCTAGGGTTCGAGTTATTGGTCGGCTGGTGGCGAGGTGTTGTATTCTCTTCCCTTGTTATTTCCTTATCATTATTATCATTGGTGGTAGCAGTAGTGGTTTGTGTTACACCTTAGTTACTAAACTGTTCTTATCTCAACCCGTGGGAGTTGCATTCTTTTTGATTCTCCTCTCCGTCCCTCCGGGAGCAGGGGCAGGGAAAGAAGTGGGGGGAAGTGAGTGAACGAGTTACCTGACTGGGTTTAAACCACGACAATGAAGTATCCTGAAACAAAACTCACTATTTGTTTTGGTTTGAGAATCTCCATTATCAAGCTAAAAAATGCTTTGTCAAAGTGGGAAATTGGAAAACAGAACAGCTTTGTGGAACAGTTGGGTTTAATGCCTCCTTTTCCTTTTCAAAACAGAAAGATGATGACATCGAAGAAGGAGATCTTCCTGAACACAAGAGGCCTCCAGCACCAATAGATTTCTCAAAAATTGATCCAGGCAAGCCTGAAAGTATCCTGAAGCTGACGAAGAAGGGGAAGACTTTGATGATGTTTGTCACAGTGTCAGGAAATCCCACAGAAAAAGAGACAGAAGAAATCACTAGCTTGTGGCAGGGCAGTCTCTTCAATGCAAACTATGATGTGCAAAGGTAAGCTGTTATACGCAAGGGTGAAGTTTGTCTTTTTACAGAAGCCTTGTTTCTTTCCTCCTGAGAATCTTTTCAACTGTTCATGCTGTGCCCTTCCCCACCTCAATCACGTGTCACTATTTCTGTATCAGTTTCTATGCTAATTTGTTGTAAGTCATGCTATAAAAATTCTGGCATGGTGCACAAATCTTTTTAACACTTACAAATGATGTATGCATAGCCTCATTTGTTTATATCTCATTATGTTTCAGCTATTTATCAGTTTTAGTTGCAGTAGTTTGCCTTTATGTGCTTGATGGAAAATGCCACCCTTGGAAGACTTGTCACCACAGAAGGCTTTTTGTTCCCCTTGCTAAAAAATGTGGTGTTTCTGAAAGAGAGAGGATCACTTTGAAACACAGGAAGATTGTGTCTCTTGTACTGAGGCTGGGAAGGGTTATAGTAAGTGTATAAAGCAAATATAATGCCCATTAGTGGGTTTTACGTAGTGCTAAATTAATTCCTAAGTTGTCTTTGTATTCTCACTCCTCCTTGGTTATTTGCAAACTTAATACATGTTATTCTTACATATGCTAGAAAATTGTTCAATGTCCTCCTCCCCAGGCAACAAGATCAGCTCCATCTCTGGGATTGTTCAAGGCCAGGATGGACAGAACCTTAGGCAACATGTTCAAGCATAAGGCATCGCTTCACATGGCAGGGGGGTTGGAATTAGATGACCTTAAGGTTGTTCCAACTCTAGCCTTTCTATGATTCTACGATTCTTGCTCTTGCATATAAGCCTCAGTCACGGAGGTGCTGTGAATTAAGCAAGATGTTGTACTGCTTGAAAAGCACAGAGCTAACAGAAATTATATCTTTCCTCCAGGTTCATTGTTGGCTCAAATCGTGCCATCTTTATGCTGCGTGATGGTGGGTATGCCTGGGAGATCAAAGACTTCCTGATAAGTCAAGAAAGGTGTGCGGATGTTACTCTGGAAGGTCAGGTTTATCCTGGCAAAGGAGGAGAAGAAAATGAGAAAATGAAAAACAAAACAAAACCTGAAAAAGCAAAGAAGAAAAAAGACGCAGACAAGAAATCTAACAGCATCAAAGAGGACAACCGAGCAACCAACCAGAGAGAGGATCTATGATGGATGTGTTAACCAGACTGAATACTGTTCCTTGAACAGAAACTAAATTTCCATGCAATTCCTGGGTTTACTGGGGAGGGGGGAGAAAGGAAGCAGAGATTACTGAGGTTAAAAGACTTTTATGTTGGAATTCACCAGTTTACTTACTAATATTGGCCATTTGTTTAGTTGCAGGATAGGTAATGTTTAATACTTTAGTTTGTAATTTTGTATGCTTTTGTGTTAAAATTAACATACAAATCTGTGTGTCTAACACTGCAAACTTAAATTAGGTGGAAAAGAAGAAACAGTCTCAGAATACACTGATACTCATCTTTAGTATCCACATACATCTTGGCTGTGCAAGTTGGTCATTGATTTGTAACTGCTGATGGACAGCAGAATGCAGTACTAATACATTCTCTTGGAAGTCAGTTTGCTAGAGTCAGTTGCAAAACTGCATAAAAGTACAAAGAATAGTGGTACACTGGCCAAAGATGCATGAAATTACAGGGTTTAGGACATGTCTGGTTAGGCTGCCTGCTTCTTTAAAATAAACAAGACCTCTTCTGTTTGTCCCAAGAAATCCATGGAAATTCTTAGAAGCAGGATAGAAGCTAAGCAGAGAACTTGGCTAATTTATTCCAAATCAGTGCAGAAAAGAGATTCTGTACCGTTCATAGTGATGCTGGGTTGTTAATGAAATTACATCACCCTCATGAGCAGTGTCAGGGCAAAAGGAAGGTCAGATTCATGGCATTCAGGTTGCTGCTGCTGCCAAAGAACTGTGCCTCTGGAAGCAGGTGTTATGTATGCCCTATTATCTAGACAGTAGATTTTAACTCGGAAATTAATTTGGTTTACTCATTTAAGGGTTTGCTTAAATCTTTGAAAAAGCACTAGGTGCTGTGCAGAGCTCAACTTTGAGTTAGACATATCCCTTCCTGATGTTTAATAACCAGATTATTATTTTTTGTTTGGGTATAGATTGCTGACTGACATGGTTGATTGTGAAAAAAACACACATTGATTTAAATAATCTGAGGTTTGATGTATGGGAGCAAATACAATTTCTCCTTGACATACTTTGTATAATTTGGAATGTTTTATTATTATTCAGATTGTATTCTGTCAAATTCATTACTTAGAATTGTTGCCCTTCTGCCTTACTGCCTATTAGGGACTAAATGCACCTTGTATGTGTGGTCCACATCATTTTCCAGAGGATGAGCACAGTATTTTCTATCTTCATTCAATACTACTAAGATGTTACTTTGACTCTCTCTTTAAGGTGCTAAAATCCAAATGTTTTGGATAAAAGGTCCTAATTGAACCATAATGGTTAATCTCATGGAATACTTCAGTATCAAAGTGGGAAACTGATCTGTTGAGTACTTGTCCTAAAATAAAAGATGTGACTAAACTTACTGTTTCACTGAGTAGTAAAGCCTTTTAAATAATTAATGCATTGAGTTAGTTATTCGGGAGAGACACAAATTCATCTTTGGTTTCTGTACATAAGGACTAAATGATGTTGCTGAAGGTTCCAGGTGATTGGGTTTATTTAATTTTAATTATATTTGTATGAATTTAGGATTAAAGAAATCTTTCTGGCCACACTTCGTTAAACAGGCCTGTGACTATTTGAATAGAAAATGAAATCATGTATTTCTTCAGGATTAACTGTATTACTTTTAAATTGTACTATTAATCCAAACATGTAACGGAGTTGAGAAGAGTCTCAGTAGATGTTTGGGTATTGCATTGCATCAAGATGTGCAGTCCATTTCTTGTTCATTACTCATTTATCATTTTGTCAAGTGTTCTTGGTTTGCACCTGCCTTTTTTTACGGAGTGTTGCTTCTCACCTTTAGAGATGAGCAAAGGTCAGATGAAACAATAAATACAAAATATTAATGAGTGGTTTTCTTTTTACAACTTATATCTATGGTATGGAGGTGACAGTTCAGATCAGAAACATGGAAATTTAAGTTTCTGTAATTTGCCTAATCTTAGGAAACATAAACCTGATTTTTTTAGTCAAAGTGAGTTCTTCCTGAGCTAAACAATGAAGCAGTGTAAACCAACCTGCAAAGGCAGCTCAGCCAAGGAGGAGGAAAAAATTACTACACTATGTAGCTGTAAGGCCAGCTTTTGAGAATAGATACTTGTTTTAGTCATTCGTAAATCGACATTTACAGTAGGTTGGAGCCCTTACCCTTCATGGTTAAAAGGAGGGAGGTAATTTTGTTGAAATTCAGCCAGCCAATTGACTGGGTTTTTTGGTTGGCTGTTCTGAATTGTTAAGTTGCCTAACCCAAATGCAGCTGTGTTTTGTGCATGTAGTTCAGTTTAAATTTTAAAGTGTGTTTTGGTTTTGGGGGTATTTTTCATTATTTTTTTAACGAGTGACTTGAGAGTTGCTTTTTGATACAAAAAAAGTGCTGCTTTCAAGTAGCTGCTTTTTTTTTGTCTTCCATTTTTCTCCCTTTTTCATGCTTTACACTCAACAAATAGCATATTTAACTATTAAGTATAATGTGAACCTGGCAGGAACTTCACCCAGCCAGTCTTTCTCTGGTATTGCAGTTCATAACGATAGGCCTTTGAGCCCCTAGGACTTGTCCTCATACAGTGTTGCATTAGCAGATGTTAGCTGGTAACGATTTGAGAGACCTGAACATAATATCACTTTTATATATGTATGTATAAAAATAAATATCTTCATAAAGTTACTTAAGGTCATTCATTAATGTTTTGTAGGTGCCCCAGCAGATGTTGAATTCTGCGTTAAGCGTCTCATCAGACTTCCAGTAACAGATTTTTGGCTATACATACGGATATATGTTCAGATATTGCCTTTAAAGCTAATTTCACTGGGGAGGGTGGTGGTTATAGCTTTCCCTATTTCTTTTTTTTTTCAGTATTAAACAGAGGTATATGGGAAATGATCTGCTTTCATGACAGCTGAGTAAGTGCCTGCTGTCTTTCTCCATTCAGCTCAGTGGTTTCTCTGTTCTAGTGCCATAACTTAAGTTTTCTAAGTTACTGTTCTATTTTTAACTCGGCAGTCCTCAGAAAAAAGCAGTTTGGCAATGGTACTACACAAGATGTGTTTGCACTTTGTGAGGAATTTCCAATGGACAATCAAATTTTTTATGTAATACTGGAACGAAGATGTTGTGGGTTTTATTTTATTGGGTTACTTTGTTGTTGTTGTTTGGCTTTTTTTAAGATAGATGTATAGTGCGTGCTTTATCAAAATAATTTAAATTCCTACCTCAAAGAATACAAGTGCATCCCCTGTTCTCGAGAGCTTAATTTTATTGACAAAAGAAGTAGGAAATCGGGCATTTAAAGTGGGGGCCGGGGGCCAAAAGATCCAAGAGGAGCACCATGTACAGTAAAGGAATGAATGTTTCTGTGATTCTATGTTGGCAGTTGAATTTATAACTAAACATCCTCACTAACTACTAAATCTCCCTAATTAAGCAATGTAAACAGTATTCATCATAATTTAAAAGAATGAGAATTGCAAGTGCCATCATTACTTTGTATGTGCGCTAAGATTTACCTGTGCTTATTTGCTAAGATTTACCTTTGAAGGTGCAATCAAGTTCCCTGTAATACCACACCTGTTACCAGTCTTATCTCTATTTGCTGCACTGTCTTGCTCGGTATGCATCGCTTGCTAGCAGGTCAGTTTGTGGGTACCGTTTTGTGGCTTCTTTTAGTTTGTCTTCAGCTTTGTTGCTGCAGTTATTACCAATTATTACCCAGTTTTTAAACTTTATTAGGACACACACACTACAAGATTTCTGACCTTTATGTGAGTGGTTAAAGCATTTCTATTCTCTGAACAGTTGGGTCTGCCTTGACTTCAGAAAGACTCTGATCCTGTCACTGCTTCTGAACTCTTTCAATGTGTCATGAAAAGGAAATCATACATTAAAATAACATTTTAAGATAGGGAACTTTTGTCTGAGTTTTGGCCACTGTTCTTGTGGGGCTTATACTAAGGCGTAGAAGTTATTTCCAGTCTTTATCTCTGGCTCATTTCCTTTTCTGTGCAAGGAGTAACAGTGATTGCCTTTTCCAGAGTTGTTTTTTTTTAATTGCATTGGACGTTTATAGAAATTCAAAGAGCCTGTGCCTGTATAGTGTGATGCTCCTGGTTTTACAGCTGCCTGTTTCATTGCTGCTCTCATGTTTCTCGTTCTTAAGATTGCCAGCCTACTATGTCTGGTGATACACTTTTATTCGCTATTTCTTTTTATAAATAAACTATTTTTGCATATCACTGTGTCCCATCAGTCATACTGTGCCATTTTTAACGGGGACAAGCCCCACTGAAGCCAGGCAATACCAAACTGCCAGGAAGGTTAGAGCTGTTTGGATTCATGACAGAAAAACATTCCACTTGCGTTCATTCTCTGATGGTAGTGGGGTTCCTCCTCCAGTAGAGAGGTCACGCAGTGTGAAGGGGGCTGGGCACACCATTGATCTCCAGCCAAAGAGCTCTGCGCAGTGTAGCTTTTGATTGGTATTTAAAGCTGACATACAATCAAGCATTATGCAGCACACCAGCCTCTATCCAAAGCTGGCTGATAAATGCTTTGTTTCTTTCCTGTGTGATGCTACTTAATAGACTGGTATTTTCACTCTTGTTTCCAGTGCCAGCTGTGTTTAGTTATCAATTAATCAGTGGCATTGTATCAACGGATTTGTGTAACAGCAAAACCAACAGATCCATTACCTATCATTTAAATTAACAGTGATCATTGCAATAAATAATTTCTAAAAAAATAAATGAGTCTGTATTTTTTTTCTATTTATTACACAGACATTTGTGCTTTGAGAGGGAGATACGGGACAATTAAAGGAGCTTCAACCTCTTCCCAGTGTTACTGGCAAAGGCCAGCAAATAAATACATGGTCCATCAGCACAGTCTTGCTATGCAGCATGTTAGAAAGAGGATCGTCCTTGTTCTACAGGCCCCTGCTCACCCACTGATCTCTTGCACCACTCACTATGCGATGGCAGAGTATTCCCATCTTATGAAGACTGTAATTCATCCTGTTTGGCTGCTTCCTCATGTCCTGGCTCTGAAGCAGCAGCACAGAGGTGACCTGTGTTAGAGTTTCTAGCGTTCAGGTGTCTTGGTGCCTGCTGAGGCTGTAATAATAATCCTATTGGCAACGTCCTTGGCCTGAACATTGAATAAAATGGGGACAGACTGTGTTAGTTTTTACACTTACTTCTCAGAAGCAGAAAGTTTCTTCTTTCTTATCCCAGAATTATCATGCCAAATGAAACTGTGGGCCCATCTTTCCTGCCTATAATATCCACTGCTTTTAAAGGTAACTGCCAGCAGTGTCTGAAAACAGCCTGGTTTACTGAGCTGGTGACATGCTCACTAGTTCTGTGGAGCCCACAGACCAGAGCATTGAGCACTCATTGACTTGTTAATATTTAAATGGTTCAGGTGCTGTCACTGATGGTGGTGTTATATGTCCAGTGGCCTCCAAGAGCTTTTGAAATGGGTGAATAGCAAGGGCTCAGCCTTTGCTTGCAAGGTGCAAGGCTGTTTGCTAGTAATGAGAAGCAGCTGTTCACTGAACAGCACCATGAAGTAACCTGGATCTTGGTGTAACTTACATAGAGCCTTCTTTGTAATGAGAAACACTGAGTTATACATGAACAATTGTATTGCAAGGATGTCTTGAAAAAAAAAATACAGCACTCACTTGCTGAGTCAACTAAATAACATAATGGTTTAATATGTATATTCATGTGAGCATTGCTTATCATTTCCCAGATCCATGGCTACAAAACATCCTGCATGTTTGGTTTTGGTTTTTTAACTAACGTGTCCTCAGTACAGTTTTATTTCATTCAACTTCTTTTGTAAAACGTAAATCTGTTTTCATCCCCTCACCTAAACTGAAATCCAATCCAAAATAGTGCATACTTCAAATTGAACCACACAAGATTTTTGTATTACTATTTTATTATTCATCCTGCCAGTTGTATCCACAGCCATACCCTGTGACTTCTCAGCCCTTGACAGCTATCTGTTGTCTTTCTGGTGCCATAAAAAAGCTAATAACTTTGTGGACTTTAGCTAATTGCAGTTATAACAGAATGGACTTGCTGGGGAGCTTAATGGAAGCAGAAGCATGTAAGTAAGTAAGAGTTTTGGCATTTAGTTGAGCAGAAGATTTTGAAAAACTAACTTTCTTTCATTTAATGTGGGAGACAGTTTTTTGTTGTGATCTCAAGAGCTGTGTAACCTAACCAGGAAAGACCATTTTCTATCTTACCCTTCCCAACCCTTGCTCCTAGACAGCAGCACCATTTAAGCCATACTGCTCAATCTTCAAATAGACCACATAAGGCCTGAAATATATTTCAGCCACATTATTATTCCTGTCAGTAGTGATAAGCCAGGACAGTCTCACTTCCTGGGATGAGAAAATCAACTATAGCTGTGTAACAGCGAAGGCCATTCTCAAGAGATATCCGAATGACAGAGCAGTACCAGCCGGATACTGGAGATGGATACTGCAGGAAAGCAGAAATTAAAGTCAAACCAGCTGCATTAATTTCCTGTGGTGTTACTATCAAGTGACAGACCTGTGGGGTTTAGGTGAGGCACCTGTGCTTTAAGAAACATTACCTAGTAGTACTCACTCAGCACTAAGACTATAGGAGAGGAGATGAGGTTACTGTTGTGCTGGGAATTTCACCATGATCTCACATTACACCACTGCCAAAGGAGCAGAAATACTTGTTTGTAAGGGGCTTTTCCCCAGAATGATTTCCCATTGAGTCTCATCACTGTTTCCTCATCACGGACCCCTTTCTGTGTCCTGACTGCTGAAATATGGACTCCAGCTGAGGCTCAAACTCATAA